TATATCACATATGGTGGGAATGCCCCAAATTGAGACCTTTTTGGAACCGGCTTTATGCTCTAATATTTAGGGTTACTGGGGTGAGACTCCCACGAGATCCCCAATATGTGTTGCTGAATTGCCCAATTCCAGGACTGTCTAAAGCTTTGGATGAATTAATTACTTTCTTTTTGTTGGCAGCCAAAATAAGCATAGCTAGGGCTTGGAAAACGCCAACAATTCCATTCCACTTGGTTAAACAAAAAATGTTGTGGATTATGGTCCATGAGAAACTTCACAGCATCCTCCAAGATACTAAAAAAAGCTTTGAATTGACCTGGACCCCCTGGTTGTTATATACAGGGGTGCTGGAAACTGGGTAATTTTCATTGAACAATTTTTCTGGAATTTTTCTCTGGGGACTATGTTTAATGTTTAAGTAGATGTTGGGCTATTTGGTCGGGGATGGAGCTACTCGTTTCGGACTCTTAAGCTGTTCTGCGTCCTTTAGCATCTATTTCCTTTTTCCTTTTTTTGTCTGTCTGTCTTTTTTTTTTCATTATGCTCGCACACGTGAGTTGTTTAGTGCATTCATGTTGGACAGAAAGTCTTCTATTTATATAGATAAGGAGGAGATCACAACAAATGTTTGCTGCAGACATAGGCGGATCCCTATGCCAGATATTCCTCTCAGACTGTTTTGAGTTTTGTTTTTGCTGATGGGGGATGAATTGGCAAGAATAGGGTGATAGATATGATCTGTTTTACAGAACTATTATATATTGTGTGTATGGCTTCTAGTGATCTCCCCCCTACTACTCGACTATGTTAATGTGGAAGAATAAAAAAAAAAGAAAAAAAAGTCAACAAAGAAGCATATTATTACCATGTATGCAGCCTGACTGCATTACATTAATACATTAAGAGGGCTCATTTGGGCTTAAAAGTACAGTATATCTAAAGCCAAATCATTTTTTAAAAATAATTGATCCTTGAGCAGGTGTTTTAGAGCTGCAAAATGATCACGGCTTCTCCACAGAAAGCAAGGGTCTCATTCTGCAGCTTGCTGGCAGTGGACATGCTTTTCGACAAAGGCTTCATTTTAAAGAAAAAGGAAATGTTTCCTTTTTCTTTAGGAGTCTTTAGGACTTTGCACACCTTTCCTTTTGATGCACCTGGAATGTTCTGAGCACATTTAAACGGACAGTTTAAATGGGCTTACATTTTGGATTTTCTCACTTTCAGTCCCAGTATCAGGGGGTGCCTGGATATAGAAAGTAATGTACATAATGGGGACAAATAAAGCAATAAACTCCTGACAGGGGTTCAAACAGCACCTCACTCTTTCCGTAAGATTGTTTTCTTAGAGTCCATTGAGGGTCACAAGAAGTTATAAGTCTATGGGTTATACTGCCACTAATAGGAGAATTGAATGCTGGCAAACAAAAAAATGGTAGAAAAAGCAGCCATGGTGCCCCTCCTCAGCCCCCCCAGTATGACAAAAAGGAAATTGGTCTTCCTGAAAGAGACAGTGGCTGAAAGATAGACTCACAACTCAAACCACATCCAAACAATGGAGGGAAATGTCCTATTAGTGAACATGAGCTGGAGAGAGTAACGAAAGAACTATGGTGAAAAGCAAAGGACTGCTTTGAATAGAAAAAAGTCCTGGACTTCAACACCATCTTATCCTGGTGCAGGACCAAAAAGGTTTCCATGCAGAATAAAGCCACCAGGTCAGACACTCACCTATTTCAGGTGAGGGTCACAAGATATACAACATTGTGGGTGAGAGCAGAGAGACAAATGTCTCTAATATGTTTAAATTGGGGCTTCTGGAGCACTAAAAGAACCAGATTCAAATCAAACCAGAGTTAAAGGGGATTGGACTGGCACAATGCCAACAGTTTTCTAAACACAAAGAGAAGGCAGATAGATGTCAAGGGGTGAAAGCTCTTAAACTCACACCAAGCAAAGTAAAGCCTTTCATGTCTGATGGTAGACTTTGAAAGAAATGGACTTCCTAGCCTCAAACACAATAGATATTACAGACTCATGAATGCCCCTGTCCTTTAGAACCTCAGCTTCAACAGTTATTAAAGCCAGCAAATGAGAAGCAGGGTTGGGATCAATCCTAAGACAGCAGATTTGAACGGTCTGGCAGAGTCCCCAGCGCATCTGCAAGAAGTCTTTCTAGGTCAGCATACCACATTCGAATGGGCAAATTCAAAGCAATGAGAGATCACAGGGTTGTCCCCCTTCTTAAACCAGAGACATTTCAGGTGAGAAAAGGCATAGATGAGGGTGTACTGATCCGAAGGGGCCACTAGAGCATCCACTGCTTCTGCCAGCAGATCCCAAGACCTGAATGCACACCTGTCCAGTTTGTTGCTGAAGCTTGAGGTCAGGAAGTTCATACCCAGTTTTCCCCACCTGTGACACAGGTTCTTGAACACCTCCAGGTACAAAGAATGCTCTCCTGGGTCAAGGCGAACTGGGAAATTGGGCACATGCATGTAGGGATCTTTTATGTTCACTGAAGCCAGATGTTCCCTGGTTATAGGAAGCAATTACAGTTCTGGCAGATTGCGTCTATAATTTTTGGGCCCCAAGGTAAACATTCAAGGCCTTGAGGTCCAAGATGGGGCAAATGCTCCTTTTGAGTTTTGGTACAGAGAACAGGTTGGAGTAAAACCCCTGAAACCTTTTTTGCAACAGGGACTTAGGCTATGAACCCTTGGTCCTTAATTCTAGAGAGTGAACAAAGATTGCAAATTGCTGAGGGGTAACAGGGAGATTTGATGTAAGAGATGGGAGCAGGGAATTAAACTTGAGTTTGAAGCCCTGAGACACCACTTCCTGCATCCATACATTGGGGTTACAAGACATTAAGGTGGACTCAGAGGTCTGGAAAGTAGAGTGCACCTTCATGTAAAGGGGGGTTGTTGATGGATTCAAGTTCCAGGCCTTGCGGCTAGATGGGGAAGAAGAAAATCAAAGTTTCTATGAAAAAAATATTAGGCTAGTATTTAAAACCCCAGAGCTGGTAGTGGGAGGGGTTATACCCTGGTCAGTTGTACCTTTTTTTTGTTTTCCAGTGTTCAATTCTCTGTAGATGACAGTATGGGGGTGATTTACTAACCTAAACACACACACGCACTAGGTGTGTGTGATTTTTACACAGCAAAACATGTTTATCAACCAAAAAGTCTCTAAAAGCATATTTCCACTAATGCCATATATGGAAAAATCATGCACATGATGCATATATAATGCTGCTTCACAGTTTAGACAAAAATGGTTAGCTCATGCATTTACATTCCTGCATTCATCAACGCAAGCAACACAATGTAGAGCTAATTTACACAACATCACCTTGCAATTCGGGGCAGGGCTTTGCACAACACACCTGCTGGGTGTGTACACACTACAAAGGTGTTTAGATTCCACCCATAGATCATGCTGGGAGGGAACACACTACAGAGGTGTATACATGTTCGTGGTGTGTTTATAAGGTTAGTAAATCAACCCCTATAACTCAAAGGTTAAGACTTACTTTGTCCCTCAAAAATAAAAAATAAAGTTTAAAAAAGTTTTATAATTAAAAAAAGAAAATAAATTAGGTTTAAGAAAAAAATTATAGTAAAATATAGTGCCCAGGAGGCTATTAAAGATAGGAGACAAACCTACCACATTCTAAAATTGTTCCAAACTAAAATTGCATTTACTCCTTGTATTTTGTGACCTATATCTCCCAAGATGGAAATTATGGTTAATCAAAAATATAACAAAAATGGCAAAATTGCTCCAGTCCCTAGGAACAAAGTTTTTTTCTGAAACTGTATCACTAATGGGTTAATAATGACATCCTGTAATTTCCAGTACAAGATCATTTAGACTAGGAGAGTGGGGTGCACTAGAAGCCAATAATATTCAACAGCATTGTACGTGTGCAGATAAAGTTCAGGCCAAGAACCAGGGGTAATATTTATTACAAATGTGCATTTAAGTGTGTGGAAGAAGTTTAGCTTTAATCCTGTTCTACTATGTTTGCAGAATTTTATAAATCAATGGAAAATAAGGAAGGCTTACTGCAATTAAGTATGATACAGCATTCTCCCTTTGAAATTTCTGGGACGGCTTCATATCCCAGTTTGCATGATTTTGTTGGATACGTGCACCCTGAAGGGTCACATCCTAAAGGGGAAAAAGAAACAATAGTTTATTTCCTGATCATACTGTTTTAATCAATTATTAAACAATTACCGTATTTTTCGCTCCATAAGACGCACTTTTTTCCCCCCAAAAGAAGGGGGAAAAAGTGCCTGCGTCTTATGGAGCGAATCCCGACGCCCGAGACATGCAGTTTCGGGCGTCGGGCGAGTAGAAGGAGCCACTGCTTGTTTAATACGAGTGATCTAACGAGATCACTCGTATTAAAGCCGAGCAGCGGCGGCGGCAAACGAGTTCAGCAGCAGGAGCCACTGCTCGTTTAATACGAGTGATCTAATGAGATCACTCGTATCAAAACCGAGCAGCGGCGACGATTGAGATAACCATAGAGCAGACGAAGAATAGACGTTCTTCGCCTGCTCTGTGTCATCACTGAGACCGTGGCACTGTAATCACAGCGCCACCTGTCTCAGCGGTCACTAACTGCAGCTTCTGTCACAGCTTCTGTCATAGAAGCTGTCACAGAAGCTACAGTCTCGAGTGCTCCATAAGGCGCGCCGGACCTCCCTGCGTCCTATGGTCCGGTGCGTCTTATGGACCGCAAAATACAGTACATTGCCTAATTACAGTTTGAGCAAAAAGGATTTTAATTGAATCCCCCAGCGACCTTTAAATTAAAAAGCAGCTCTGGTTGCTATACTGACTGGCACCATGCCTTGCAGACTAACCATTTTTCTGGCCACCAATCCTCTTTAAAGTTAAACTACCCCCAGCACCATTCAATCAACTTCCTTAGAGACCTGGAATCTTGGCGTGTGTCATTCTAAGTTGTCTTGATAATGTTGTCATGCCAACATTGTAGACTGGACAGAATGGTAAGCATAAAACATACACATTCTTTTATTGTATTTATTTTCTTGACATTTTTTTTTTTTCTGGAGTGCTTCTGCATCATTGACCAAATTTCACACTCCACTTATTTTGTATTTATTTATTAAGTTGTTGCCTAGAAGTTAAAAACAGGAAAAACAAACTTTCTTTGAAATACTCATCTTCTCTCTGGTGCTTGCCCCCACAGCCTCACTACTTCAGATCCTAACCACTATACCTCTTCCAGATTGAATGATACTCATCCAACCTACTTCCTGGGAGCCCAGGCTGTCAATGAAACACACCCTGGGAGTGCATAATCATGTGGGCCTGGGCTCAAAGTACTGATGCACAGAATGGTGCCCAGAGCATTATATAAAAACTGTTCTGTACATCCTTAAGGACCGTCCACTACTTTCTTCAAAGAAGAAGAGGAAGGACCCATGACATGGACAGCATGGGGGTAGGGGGCAATTTTTTTACATTTAAAATGAAAATAAACTACAGATTTCCAGTTCATTTCCAAACAGAAAATAAAAAAAATAGGATTATATAGTTCTTCACCTAATTTAATGTAAAATATGTTTAAAAAGTTGGTACTACTAACTCCTTCAAAAGTTACATGATCTTAAAACAAATACACATGTTTGTAGAAGGCCTCAGAGGTGGTTAGAGAGCATACATAAGCACATAGAATCACAAAGAATCAGGAGCTATAATAGCATGTGTGGGATACAGTTCCAAAGAAATGATAATCAAGATTGGATATTAAAATAACCCAAGGACATATTTAAATACACATTCTAAATATACTTGATACTGTGTAGTTATACTGTACATACAAATTACAGAAGTTAAGAATCACAACCCTTCAATCATACATACGGCATTCAATTTTTGGACAGCAGTGATCCCCTGTAGTCAGTATAGGGTAAGGTTTCCAGGGTTTTTCACATATACTGAAGTTTAGAGGAGGGCATTTCATAGGAGAGCAATAAACCTTGACCAAAGTTTTGTCACAATGACATATCTGGCAGTTGTCAATCCAGGTCTCTCCGGGCTGAAAAATGAAGTAAAAAACTGTTGTGATTTTCACAAATTATAATATTATATTGTTCATGTACAAAAACACAGAGACAATTTAGAAAAAGTATCTGTCTTTTTAAAAATATACATGAAAGCACAATGCATTAATACTTACCTTTTTTTCCATCCCATTAGGCCCCGTGCAACCTGCAATTAAACATATTTTATGTAAGCATTTTGTGTGATTTTGAACATACCCATTCCACTGATTTTTGTTTTTTACATAAGCAAGTTGTTTTCCAAATTTAAATTACAACATAGAAAATAAGTGTTCATACAACTGAACTGGAGGAGAGATGCAATACCCTCACAGAGTCTGCAGGAAGATTACCAAGTACAATATGAGACATACATCTGTGTACAAATGTATTACCTCTGATGCAAATCTTGCACATGCCTTGCAAGTCTGTTACTTATTGCATTAGATGTTTTGAAATACTAATTGAAAATGCCAAGCAACATATACATATCAAAATCCTAAATGCATAACTTGAGAAAAGACTGTCAACCCCTCAGCCCTTTGGTACATCTAGTGACAACAGACCTGGGCTTCAATATTAGTTCCAAGATGAAAGCATTACAGTAATACCATAGCAGAATTTGCCGCTGGCACATCCTCCTACCATTGGTATATTTGCTATGGTAGTTAGGGAACTTAAAGAAAACCCAAGAAGATGGGCTGTTTAACAGTTTTGACCTCTGAGACCCCAGTTCTCAGAAAAGCCAATCAGGTAAAGAGGACATTGAAGAAACAAACAAAGATGTAATAGATTGCGACTTACCAGTCCTCTGACATTGAGGCTAAATTATTTCCAAAGCAGCTACACTCCACGGGTTATTTTGCATAAAAACTGTTTTTATTTAAATCAATTATCAAATATACACCCTCCTAGCAATCCCCATGTGCAAAATCTAACGCATTTCACCACGCAGGTCTTAATCACAGAGATAACAATTACTATTATGATTAAGCCTGAGGGGTGAACTGTGTTAGAGTTTTGCACATGAGGATTGCTAGGATGGTGTATAGTTGCTGATTGATTTCAATAAAGAATATATTTATGCAAGACGACCCTTGGAGTGCGGCTGCTTTGGAATAGAAGCTATTGGAGGTGAGAATTAATCCTTTAGTCTGCACATGAGACATACATGTTGTGTTAGTTCAGTCGTGCAAATTGGACCGGTGGGGATTTCTTGGAGCTTCATTGTGGCTAAATTAGTTTTGCTTTTTTCCCCTTTATTTAAATTTGGTGATCCCATCAGTAACGCAGTTCATATCCTAGGTTTGTAATGCTCGCCAGCATGCTAAATCTACAGAACACCTCCCCCTCTCTTCTTCACAAATAGATATAACTAAACACTTTAAATTGTATATTTAACAGACCAAAATGGAGCACACAAGAGAAATGAATTCTTAGGGTTTATATACACTTTAATACAACTCGTTGTTTGAATGAAAAACACCATCACTGGGATGGCAAAACTTTTGTCTATGCTGTAACAATAATCACTCACTAGGACATTTATAGTTAAAGCAGCAGCCATCTTGATTGTAGACCTTCATGGGTGGGATCTCATAATCACATGTAATGGCTTCCACGTGGGGACATTGTAATGTAGACAGGTATAAGGTTCCATTTTCGTAGCACGTGGCATTAAAACAGTTGTTCCTATAAACTGCCTTGAGGGCAAACCGGCTCCCGCTCTAGGAAAAAACGTTTACAGTTATTGGAGTATCATAATTCTTGCTTATAAAACATCCATTAGCTTGAGGCATGGGGGTTGATTTACTAACCTTATAAACACACCACTAACATGTATACACCTCTGTAGTGTGTTCCCTCC